TCTGCCCCCTTTTGGGGCCATCAGGAAGCCACATGCTCTGCGTGGAGGTAAACAGCGTCTCCTAGATTGATTCTCTCCTCTCTTTCTTCAAGTCACCGAGCACTGATATTTTAGTGTCTGTTTGCTGGCTCTGAGCCACTGGCCGTGTCCTCTCTGGACCTTATGAGCAACTCCCTTTGATTTTTTGATCTTACAAGAGGTCACCTCAGCTCGAAAGCAAGATGCAGGAACCTTTCCCACGATCCTCCGGGAGCTTGGAAGGGTGTTTGTTAGTTGTTTTTATTGGGGTGGTCACTCACCATATTCCTCATCAGTCTGGTCTCAAGTGTGCCCGAGTCTGCAAACAACACCATTTAATAACTAACAGCTTCATCAGGAACTTCCTTCAGTTCCTGTTCTCCCATGGAGGAAGAACATTTTCTTCTTAAAGCCACAGCCTTCAAATTTCTAATAACTTACAGACAGCATTGGAGGCTCAGGGGTAGAATCCTCAAATGTATAATAACTGCCCATGGGAGGACAAAGCTGAGGAGAGAATGGGTGTCACCTCCTCTAGAAAGGCTTGTCCTTCACGCTTGCTGGGTTGTGGCCTCCTCCACACAGACTCTGCAGGTGGAATCAACACAACGGCCCACAGTGCCTTGTCTCAGCTTCATTCTTCTCCACCCACAGTCGTGGGACTTCTTCCTCTCGTGTGGTAACTTCTGAGGGCAGCTGCTCCTTCCTAATCTCTCACTTGACAGGTAGCGGCTGCGGGTCCATGTGTGCCAGGCCCTGAGAACTGGGGAACTGGATGTGAGGGATGCAGATGAGCCTCTTGCTCACACCGCTCACTGTCTTTCCATTTCCCCATATCTGTTATAGGTGTATTAGCTACCCACTGCCACATAACAAGTTGCCCCAAAACTTAGCAGAGGAAAACAAACATAAATGCATGCCTCGTACACTTTCTGAGGACGTTATGGTTATACAAGGAAAGCCAAGATGTCGATTTTTTTCAGGTAACATTTTTGCTCACCAATATGCTTATATTTCCTATAAGCTGAGAGGAATCCAGCAGTGGCTTAGCTGTGTATTTCTGGCTCAGGGTCTCCCGTGAGGCTGAGTCAGTCTGTCCACCAAGGGACTGCCACATGAAGGCTGGACTGGAGTGGGGATCTGCTTCCAGGCTCACTCATGTGGCTGTTGGCTGCAGGCCTCAGATTCTCACCACATGGGTTCTCCTTGAGGTGATTGTGACATGGAAGCTGGATGCTCCCCAAATGAATGGTCCAAGATAGAGAGGGAGTGAGCAGGAAGGAAGCTGCAGTGTCTTTTGTCTTGTCTCAGAAGTGACACATCAGCTGCTCTGCCGTGTTCTGTCTGACACACAGACCAACCCTGGAGTGATGTGAAATGCTGGTCATTCTGTGGGTCTTGACAGATTGCGATAACATATTGTTTTAAAATCTTACATGGATATAATATAGAGAGCTATTAATGAAGGTCAATGCAGAGAGGCCAATGCTATTGAAAGAAGGACATGTTCCTCACTTTTCTTGAGAGAAGGGACAGGCCATGCCAAGTGGGGCCAAGTGGGACGTGGAGGAAAAGCCAGGTTGTAGGAGGAAGGGAAGAGGAGGTCAGAAGCATTACTGGGGTGTCCTTGGGAAAGGCGGGGCAGGGCAGAGTGAGGGCTTTAGGGCTGGCTGCTTTGAACAGTTCAGGTGGGCTCTGACCTATGGGGATTATCTCTAATTGTCTAGTGCCTGGCCCTGAGAGGATTAGGGCCAGGACACACCTGTTTAGACAAAAGGGATGAGGCCTTGAGTCAGCTGCTCGTTCCTGGGAAGGTGAGGCAAGATGCAGGAGGGAGGTCCATGTTGGGTCAGCAATTTGGTCCTCTGATTTGTAGATGCCACATAGGCAGAGAATCTAAGAAATCAGCCAGATCACATGTACCCATGGTGATTGTCACACAGAGCAGTCCCACTGTTATGGTTTGTGTCTGTGTGTCCCCCCAAAGCCTCATGCGGCCATGGGTCAGGCTTTTAGAGTTTGATTAAGGGTGTGAGAGCTGCACCCGCCCTGGGTGGATAGTTTGCATATGTAAGGGAGAGGAAGAGAGTGCTTGAGGCCATTCCTCCCCCATTCCGCCCTGGTGTGTGGTTGTTGCTTTGCTGTTGTCTGCCACCCTGAGCTGTAGCTCTCTGCCATGTGCCACTCTGCCTTATAATCTGCCAAGTACGGACTAAAACCTCTACAAACTGTAAGCAAAATAAACCTTTCCTTCCTTAATTTTGGGCGTCAGGTATTTTGTCTCAGCAACGAGAAAAAAGTAACCAAGACACCCACTGTCCTAAACGTTCCCTGTGCTCTACTATTCCTCCCTCACCGCCCCTACTCCTGCAGCCACTCATCTTTTACCAGCTCCACACTTTCACCTTGTCCAGAATGCCGTACAGTTGGAATTAGAGCATGCACAGCCTTTGGGGACTGGCCTCGTTCAAGTTCCTGTGTCTTCTGGTGGTTTGGAGCACATTTATTTTCCTTTTTAAAAACACAAAAAACAAAACCTAGGCATACTTTCCCCTGACCCCGGCCTTGTTGATGATATAATTTTGGAGTGTTTTTAATCTTTTACCAAACTTAAATAATGTGAGTAGTCCACTCGGCTACCATGCTGCTATCACTTGAAGAAGAAAGTCTACATTGTGTTTAGGTTCCCTAATAACTTATCTTCATCTTTATTTCTTTCTTTCCCTTGCTCCCAGCATCTTGCCAGACCTTTTGTGTTCTGCTTGTCCAACCATTTGTGAAAAATCTCTATCCAAAATCATTATATGTAATATTTAGATTTTATTTAGTGTACAAAGCAATTGAGTCCTGTTGAAAGAATTAAGCTCTCTCAGAAGAAAGTCTAGATTCTTTATATTGGTTGACAAAGGGACCTGTCATGTGTGGATGCTTGCTATTAAATAGAAGCTTCACATAGAGGGCAAAGGAGCTGCTCTGTTTATGGGAAAAATCTAGCAATATCAGTGCAATTTGACCTACTCCCGTGTTGAGCTAGGGATATGTATGCAAATGATGAAAGTAAAATGCAAGTTAGCCGTATGTGTTTATGGCTGTGTGATTTTCCTCTTCCTTTTCTGCCTTGATGTTCAGGGAAGGGAGACCCAGCGCAGGAGAGCTAAAACTACCATTGGAATAAGGACTTATATTTGTACAGCACTGCACAATGCTCTGCCTGTGGTTCTTGCTCTTGAAGGAGACAGACTTTGCTCTCTTAAGTTACAATCAGACACCTATTGACTCTTCCTGGGAGAAAAAGGTGCGATGCTACCACAACCTATGTATTTAGGAGTAAAACTGATTATATTCTAGTATAGAAAGGGATGTAAAATCCTCGGAAAGAGCATTTAGGGCAAGGTAGAGAGATGAGCTCTGCTCAGAACTTCGTGGAAAATCAAGTTGACTGTTCTAAATTTGCTAACATTTAAGGAATTATGAGACTGGTCATTGAATCTGTATTTCTTTACAACTTGCTTCACATCATACCCAATGCTTAATGGAAGTGTTATGTAACAGTTCTGCTTAGTTGTTGGGAAAGCAGTATTTGGAATAAAATGGAGCAGATTAATGGGAAAATGTCCCTCACATAACAATAGTGTTAAGGGTCCAGGACTGTTTGCCTTCTAGACCATCAATAGCCACCACCCCTCCCCTCACAGTGACCAAACTTTTGAGGCCAGGAAAGTAGCCACAGATGCCGAGAGGCACAGCACAGCCCTTGAAGCCCCTCCTTGCAGATGAAACTTACCACAGAACTGCAAACACTCCTCCATCTTTCAAACATTTAAAAACTGCCGATGGTTACAACCTCTCTTGCCAAGCTTCTGCTCCACACCTTCCTCAGTGTGGCCCTCTCCAGTAAGTGACACCATCAAAGTAGGGGACGGGCTCTCCGGAGGGGTCTCTCACTCACAGAGGGCAGGGAGTAAGCATCGCAGGAGGCATACAGATTTTGGGAAAAAAGTGCCCTGTAGCAATTCTTGCAAGCCATGCTAGGATTTGGGTGGTAGAGTGCCCCTTCCTTTCCTCTTTAACAAGTGAGGTTAGTAAGTTTCCTGGCCTCTCCTGGGCCATTTCAGATGGCTGCTTCACAGGACAAATTCAGCTGAGAGATCAGCTGGGTCCTGACACAGGACTTGCCGCTAATTTGCACTTGACATTACTTGCAAATCAGCAGGATTGGACTACACTGTCCCTGAAGTCCACTACAGCAGTGACCTTTCACTGTTCCATTCTTGGGGGAAGCGGGTGAGTTCCGTGTAATTGTGAAGGTGGGGTTACCACGTTTTCTGGTAAATCTAAACCCAAGGTTACAAACTGGCGGTCATATCTGGCTTCCAAGTGTGCTTTGTTTATACTCTACTGTGTTTTTAGTTTTTAATTAATTGCCAGCACTTAAAAATAAGGAGATGTATCCTCGTCATTTCCAGCATGTCTCAAAATTTCTGGCTCTGGTCATACATGGCCTCATTCCTAGGCGGCAGCCTCCTCCAGAGCGGGCATGCCTGTCCACTGTGCACCTGGCCCATCTTGTTCATTCCTATCCCTTCCTGACCACTGCAGAGATTTGAGTTTACAAGTTCCTCTGAAAACTTGCTCTACTTCCTGGATCACACGAGACAATGACACTTGGTCAAGGCACATATTCAAGCCCATTTCTCTGCCACTTGGACTGCCTCAGCAGAGGGATTCGTGTGAGTGCGTGGGCTATGGACATCCGTGTCTGGTTTGTTCATGAGCATAGATGGGAGGAGAGCTAGAAGCTGAACATCTGGTGATGGTTCTAGAAGCTCCCCGTCAAGGTGGCTGCATTACAGATGTGCAGAAAGGCTGTGAGAGATTCTACATGAACATCTGTGTGCACCAGAGAGCGATGAGACCCAGAGAGAAAAAGAGACTTGTGGAGTTTTCAAGTGTCTTTTCCTCTTCATTCTTTTACTGTCCAGGCCCATGCCACAGACGGCGGGCAAGTGGCTGTTGTACCCAGCTGGGCTCCCTGTCGGCCCTGAAGCATGCTGTCCTGGGCCTCTACCTGCTGGTCTTCCTGATTCTCGTGGGCATCTTCATCTTAGCAGGTAAGAGCAGCCCTTTTCTATGCTGACCTTTTGGGAGGAGAAGGGGAGCTCTTCACTCCCATTCTCAGGAGCCCCAGTGCTACCCTTGTTGCCATGGAAACCACCAAAGAAGCTAGCTGGACAGGGCTCTTTGGTAGCACTGGTTGTTTTATGGGGGATGGTGGCAGGGACCACATGAGCTGCAGAATCTGAGTGTAGTGGTGGAGATCCAGTTGCTCAGTGTGACTCCTGACTTCCTCTGTCATCATGGGACATGGCATTACACTGGGCCTCCTTGGATGTCTGGATGTGATTTGCATTGGGCATGGGGACATCATCCTAGCTCCTTGTTTCAGGTCGCCATGAAAATACTCACAAGGCACTCTGCTGCTAAGGCTAATCAGGGTCCTGGTAAACCTTCACAACTACTGGGGGTAGAATCAGCCAGGCTCTCTTCCCCAATCCTGTTTGTGAGATAGGCTGGGGTTTGGAACACATTCTTTAGTCAGGGAGAAAGAGTTTGTGGATTAAGGAAAGGATCAAATGAGGGGCCTGTGGACCTTGTGTTTGGAAGCAGCACCGTTCACCCCGTAGGCTGTCCCACTGGGTTGGGGCCATACAGCAGAGGCTGTAGCCATCCCTCCTGACTCCCTTCCACAGGAGGGTCCTCCATTCCCAGCTTTCTCATCAGAGATATGTAAGGCTTGATAACACAGGACCACGCTATCAGTTTATCTCAGTCCAACACATCTTGCATGAGAACTACCTCCTGCCAGCCTCTGTGCTAGGATTGGGGACACAGAAATAAGACCCCAGGGCTTCTCAAGGAACTTCTAGTCTACAGCCTGTGGGAGGGTCAGGCAGAAGAAGTCCTATCTCAAGGTGGGACGCAGTGGGTACTGTGATGGGGCGGGGGATACAGAGGAGCATACCCTTACTTAGAGACCGTGCTGTGCTTGGAGAAGGTTGGAGTTGTCCTGTAGCTGCTGGCCAGGCACAGCTGACTTGGTGTGCTGCGGGTGGGGTCCTGAGTTAACTCTGGGGTGGGAATCTGGAGGTTCCACTCCTGCAGATGACCCTTTGCTGGAAATCCTGAGGCAGATGCCCAGGACCTCCCTGGTTGGGACTTACTCTCCACCAAGTAGTTCTAGTCACTTGGGCATTGTAATGGCATACTCAATGTGGCCTGTGCCTTCAGGTCTCTGTGCTCAGGGGATCAGCGGTGCCATCTGTTTCAACAACCACTGACCTGCGGCAAGGGGTGGGGGACAGCCAACAGCAACAATAAGAGAATTTCATGATTCATCCCAGGGACCAAAGGATAGTGTCCAGCAGATCTATCATGGGCCGAGCCAGCCGCAGGATGATTTGAGCATGTTCTTGGGTTTCTCAGTGAGAGCTTAGGATCTGGGTTTTGTGGGTTTGGCTGCCAGGACCATAACAAATTTCTGGAATGTTTGGAAATCATTTCAACCCAGCAGAAAACCAGACAATGGTGTTACATCTGCTCTGCAGACCAGGAACTTTTAGGTGACAGACAGGGTCTACAGGAAAGGGACAAGACTGGTGGGGGCCTTGGAACAGAGACTTTCAGCCCCAGGACAGCATCATCTCCTAGAAAAGAGGAGACTTTCAGGGGAGGAAAGTTTTCTTCTGATGTGTGAAGTGTTGTCGTGCGGGAAAGAGTGACCATACTGTATGACCTCAGGGCAGAACGAGGACCAGTGAGTGGAAATTATAAAGAGATAGATTTCCATTCAAAATAGAGGAGTTTCCTTACTAGTCAAGCTGTCCAACATGACCAGAAAGGCTTTCCCTGGCGTGGAGGTTGAATGGGATTTATGATGACATCTTGGAAGTTTCGGAAAGGAGGATAAAACATGGTTTCTCAATCTCATGAAAATATTGCTGCGTGTTCTTTAGTCATTCCAGGTGGGAAACAAGAGAAGATGTTTTGATCATTGTAATCACCTTCGAACCTAAAGTTTCTGGCCACCGCATTGTCAATATGGAATGAAAAGTTTAGGAGGATTGGAAATGACATGAAGAAAGGTGTCATACTTCATCTCTTGGCTCTGGGCGTGCGGCCACTGTCACCTCCCCAGATTCTTATCTGGAAATCATGCTGGCCACTGGGGGCATGGTGGGGATGACCAGTGAGAGAGCAGAGTTCACAGTGCCTGTCCCACACAGGGGGGAACAAGGTAGACAAGTCCCCTGTCCCTTAAAGGGGTTCTGTCTGGTTTGAGGGAGGATTCTTCAGATCACCTGACTGGGAACCTCCAGTGATGCTCCCTTCCCACAAATATCAAAGTGGCAGATGTCCATGGTTCAGGGTGAACCAGAGCTGGCCTGGCTTTCTGTTGGAGTCCTACTGTGGGAGCACCATCCTCTTGTTGTCCATGCTCTAGAGAAGTCATCTTGCCCAAGACATCCATTTGAGCCACTCTTAAACTTCAAAACCTGTCAACACAAATCTCATATACCCTACTACTAGACAGCAAAATTATCCACTGTGACAGGTGCCATATCTCATAGCTGATTGGCAGCATTTCATGGGAGTATACATGCTCTTACTGTTCCAATATTTAAAAATTATAACCTCATTGTGTCTATGTGTCACTCTTATAAGTTGCCCAGGATTTCTCATATGTTATCTCCTTGCCCCAAATATTCAAAATAAAAAGCAAACATTGTACCTTCTGTCAGTGCATCACCCTAGCTCCCTTGTCAGAAGCTTTATCCAGCCATCACTCAAATGATTTTCTCAGTTGGCTTTTCTGCCTTCCATCTAACCATCTGTTCCTAAGCAGCATCCTCCCAGGAACTGTCTCTTGACACTCTTAGCCTATCCCATCCATCCCATCCCATCCCATCCATCCCATCCACCCCATCCATCCCATCCCATTCCATCCATCCCATCCATCCATCCATCCATCCATCCCATCCCATTCCATTCCATCCACCCAATCCATCCCATCCCATCCCTCCATTCCATCCATCCATCCATCCCATCCCATTCCATCCACCCCATCCATCCCATCTATCCATCCTATCCCATCCCATCTATCCCATCTATCCTATCCATCCATCCCATCCATCCCCACCCATTCCATCCATCCCATCCATCCCATTCATCCATCCATCCCTCCATTCATCCCATCCCATTCCATCCACCCCATCCATCCCATCTGTCCATCCATTCCATCCATCCATCCCATCCATCCATCCCATCCCATTCCATCCACCCCATCCATCCCATCCCATCCATCCATCCTATCCCATCCCATCTATCCAATCCATCCTATCCATCCCATCCCATCCATCCCAGCCCATTGCATCCATCCCATCCATCCCAGACCATTCCATCCCATCCCATTCCATCTACTCCATCCATCCCATTCCATCTACCCCATCCATCCTATTCATCCATCCCATCCCATTCCATCCCATCCCATCCATCCCATCCCATCCCATCCATCCCATCTCCTCCCATCCATCCCATCTCATTCCATCCTATCCTATCCCATCTCATCCCATTCCATCCCATGCCATCCCCTCATTTCACAGCTTTCCATCTTCTCCAAAGAGACTGCCACAGTCAATTCCTTCCACCTCCAAACTTTTCTTTGTTCTCTGTCTTCAACACATTTTGGCAATGATCTCATTAATAGTTCCTCATTATATTACTATGTTTTTATTCTGTTCGAGATTCATTGTAGACAGCACAGACCATTGGGTTTAAATTCATGAGTAAGAGACTTGAACTTGGATGGTCGTGTGTTCAGAAAGTGATCAAGTAGCACTTTAGGCAAGATGTTCTCTGTGGTGGAGTTAAAGGGGCAGAATCTGGGGGGATGCTGCATGATTACAGCAACAGATGGAGCAACTGGACCAGGCAGAGTTCCTGGTGAGATGGGGGGTGGTCCTCTCACACCTTCATTTAACTCTTTCTTAGCAGTAGCAGTCATCATCACTGGCATCTTCAGTAAGCACTTAACTTGTGCACGTGTGCTTGGTGGTACAGACAAAGGGACAAGGCCTGAGAATACAAACTCATGAGGTGGGGTGGATTTAAAATCTCACACACACACACACACACACACACACACACACACACACACACACGGGCAATATGATGTAGCACATGCTACCTGCTAAATAATGCAAAGGAATCCCAATTCCTGAGGGCTAAAGTCTTGGGGACAGCTCAGCCTAAGGAAAAATTATCTAAATGTCATTTAAACTAAAAGTCCCCTTTTTAAAATCATCTTGTTTCAAGCAGGGCAGCTCCTGGACTCTACACTCAGAGACAGTGTGCTCGGATCCCACATCCTTTGTGCACTAGATTCTGAATCTAGTGTTGGAAATCAGATTGTGACCCTATTGGGCTTTCTTGGGGCACTCATCAGAAACAACCCCATGACATTTCATCCTTGTAGTTACTGCAAGGACACCACTGAGGGGGTTGTTCATTACATTACAGAATGTTGACTTCTGAGGACCTGTGAGAAATTATTTGTTGTCTTGTTGAAGAAGGAGGCCCACGCTTCTTGAGGAATTAGTTTCTTTTCACCTTGCGGCTGTGAATCTAAAAGTCACTGAGATCTCTGAAGGACGTAATCAACACAATCTGAGAGTCAGCTGCTAGCCATTGCCTCATGTGTGGGCTCAGAAGTAACTAAAAGAAAGCCAGGAGCCAGCTCTGCGCTCTACCCATAGCGAGCATACAGCCTGTGGGAAAGTGTGCATGAGCCTCGTCCTGGCCCTGTTCTACCTTTGCCTCATTCTGTCTGTCTCTACTTAGTGTATTTTGTGTAAACTGCCTTGGTCTTTTCTTGGGACAAGGCAGGGTGTTATGCATAGTTTTACCTTTTAAAAATTCTGCCTGCTCTATTTGATTCTTTAAATGCATGACATTTTAAGTATGTGAATGGATGAATAAATGAATGAAGAAATGATGGAGACAGGGGAACTTAGAAACATCCTTGTGAAAAAAAGATTATTTCAGTTTAACCAAG